GAATCACCTCAAAAGTTTAAAAAAACTGATGCATGGATCCTGACTAGCCTAAGGGAAACTGAGTATCTGGGAGTGGGGCCTAGGCATATGCATTTTTAAAAAAAGCACCAGTGGAGTCCAATGCACAGTGAAGGTTGCGAGCCATGTAGATCATTAAGTTAACCACTTAGATCACATTGGCTGTTTTTGCATCTAGGTCCCCTTAGCTTTTCAACACTGGTCATAGTTTAATGGCGAGCTGGAGGCCTGGATTCTAATTCCAGTTCTGTCATTCACAAGTTGTATGACCTCTGGTAATTTTAGCTTTCTTGGGCCTCACTTTCTTGTTCATAACATAAAAGTGTCAAGTAGATCAGCAGTGATAACCTGGCAGCTACCAAACTACATGCAGTCTGCACAGGTTCCTTTAGTTCCCCCAGGCATCCCTTTAAAATTCCTCTTTTGAAAATTGAATTAGTTTGTCAACATTTAAAAAAACTGAACATTTTATATAAAAATATAAATTTTAGACATCTTGAACAACTATACAATAAGGAATCATTTGACCATCAGCATCCCAAAATCCCTGTAGATAATGAGTTATTTAATGAGCAATCCCCTCTGCTTCCTACATCTCCTTGTCCTCCTTGGCATTTGTTTATGTTATCTGCCTGGCCCCTGAAAGCATTAGTCCTTGCTCCTTTGGCCATGGTGGTAGCCAGGTTCCTCAACAATTCTCATCCCCTTGTGCAGTCCCCTCCAACAGTGAAAAGGGTTGACCTATGTAACCAATAAGATATTATGGAATGTTGGTGTTTGACTTTGTCATAATAGACACTGCAGCTTCGGACCCGATCTCATTTAGATCACTCAATCTGCAAGAGCCAACACACAGCCCTATAGACAGGTCCATGTTGCAGGGAACCGAGACTTCCTGCCAACAGTCAGCACTTATCTGCCCGCCATGTGAGTCAGCCACCTTGGAGGCTAATCTTCCTTCAGATGATTGCAGCCCCAGCACACAACCTCATGAGAGACCCTGAGCCAGAACCACCCACTTAAGCTGATCTAGTCCTGACCCTCAAAAATTGTTCATTGCTTTTTAAGGTGCTAAGTTTTAGAGTGATTTGTTATATACCAATAGAAAACTAATAAAGCCAGTTTCCTTGACCTCTTTAATGTTAAAATAGAGCAATGCCTCTATTTCAGAATTACAGCCACAGAATTCGAGAAAACTCGAAGGGATCACAGTCGAGTTTGCATTGGATAGGGGAATTTTCTATTTCTGGTTAGAAAATTTTAACTCCTTCTATTCAATTTCTGTCCAAGTTCTGTAGGTTCCTCTTTTAACTGCAACAGAGTCACCCTTCCTCAACATTCCCATCATCACCATCCTATTCTTCTGGATGAATTCCTCTGATGTGCTAGTTTTTCTTGCTTCCTAATTAGAGTTTCCCTCAAAGCTCAGTCCTTGAATGTCCTTATCTTAACTGCTGGCTGAAAAACTGGTAGCACAGAGGTTCCACTCAAAAATGAGGTAACTGGGGAGTGGTGTGGAGGGAGGAACTGGTTTTGTGAGATGATAAATAATTCAGAGTTTTAGCTAGGTTTTAGCCAAGTGATGCCCAGAGGACAGGATGCTTGGGGGTCTTAATTAGCAAGACTGATTTGTGAGCAGTGACACAAGGTGAGACCCTGAGCGTGGATGAACTCACACAGAGAGTAATTCTTGGGCTAAAATTAAAATCTAAGGTCATTTTTGATTCAATCTCATCTTCATCAAGGTCTGTCAGAATCTTCAGACATTTGTCATGGATTCCCACTGTCACTACTGTAGTCAAGACTCATGTTTGTTCTAATTGGGAGGATCAAATAACTGGATACATGAGCAAGTCTGAAAACAGCAATCATAAAGAAATTTTAGTATGTAATCAAGTTAAAATACTTTACAAAGTTAATCTCATATACTTAATAATATATAATTGCTTTTATGCTGCATATTTAGGCAAAAAAAAAAAGCAGTCAGTTCCATAAACTGTTATAAGCTTTCCTCCCTAGTACTTCCCTCCCTAGTGTATATGGTGTGGTTGGGTTTTTTTTTGTTTTAAAAGATGAGGTCTTGGTCTATTGCCCAAGCTGGAGGGCAGTGACATCATCATAGCTCACTGCAGCCCTGAACTCCTGGCCTCAAGAGATCTTGTCATCTCAGCCTCCCACTGTGCCGGGTAACTTATTTTTTTACAGACAGATATTGCTATGTTGCCGAGGCTGGTCTCAGACTTCTGAGCTCAACTGATCCTCCCACTTCAGCCTCCTGAGTAGCTGGGATTACAGGCATGAGCCACTACGCCCAGCTGTATATATATTTTACACTTAGCACATACATTATAATACTGCCATTTCTTTCTCTATTACAGGTTTTATGATCATCCCAGTTGACAGTAAACTTTCCATCCTCTGAACTCCCATATCATTTTGTTTCACTGTAGTGAAATTTATATAGCGAAAAGTACAAATCTTAATAAGTTTCTGTAAAACATACACCCATGTAACCATCACTCCAATCAAATTACAAATGTTAACATCCTGAAAGTTCCCTCCAAGTCAATCACCCTCTCCCATAAGCAATCATTGTTCAGATTTCCATCACCCTAGATTACTGCTGTCTTTGAACTTCTTATAAATGGAATTATACAGTATACACTCTTACATATATGCCAGACTTCTTTCACTCAGTACAATGTCTTTGAGATTTATTTATCTTACCGGGTTTATCAGTGGTTCATTCTTTTTTATTGCTGAGTAGGAATCACTGCCATGCAATTTACAAATACATTTTTATGGCCTTTTGCCTGTCCACCTTGGATTGCAGGGCTTAGTAGAGGTTCCTTGTACATGGCGGGTGTTCAATAAATACTAGTTAAGTTTCCCTCCTGTCACAAATAGAATTACGTATGTTCATTATGTGAGATAGGTCCTGGATCTAAATTCCAAAATAAAGCTTTTCTCTAAGGTCTAGCCAGGATCCAGGTCTCTTCACCAAGAGATTCCTAAGGAAACTTACCAGCTACTCCTTGATCCATACCTGGAAGGAGCAGTACTGACTAGGGACAATAATTGAGTACTAAAGATGTGCCAGGCACTGGTCTAAGCACTTCACATGTATTAACTCATTTAATCCTTACAACATCTTACGATATGAGTAGTTATTATCCTCTTCTCTCAGATGAGAAAATTAGGGTAAAGAGAATAAACAACCTGCCACAGAGCTAGAAAATGGTACAGCTTAGAGACAGGATCTGTACTCAGGAAACCTAGCTCCAGAGCTTGTACTACCAGCCCCTAATATCCTGCTTACAGGCAGCCGAAATTCTCTACCATGAAAACGTGGATAGTTAGTTGGGGGTGACAAGCAATACCACCACACAGCTAATGTGTCGAATGAGGAAAGATGATCCCGATTAAAGGTGCTGTCAAACAGGGTATGATAAAAACTCATCCCTAGACATCTGGAGTCTGAATCTTGGGAGAAAGGAAAAACTAGCCCCATTTAGGGGCTCTAAATCCTCTTATCTTTCCTAACCTTAGCAACCCTCACCTGGAGATCTGCCCTTAAGATGTTGCAGTTTATCTTCTCCAAACTCAGTCTCATTAAAGTATAAATGACTATTGAGTCAGCCATCAAAGAAGTTGTTTCACTGAACAGAGCCTGAAAGCCAAAAGCTGTGCACTTAGTTATCAAGTCCAGCAGAGTAGACCACCCTGGGCAAATTACCTCACCTCTGTGGTTTTTTTGTTTCCTCACTTATAAGATGAAAGGCTTTCACAAGATAATCTACAAGGTCCTACTGAATCCTAAAATGCTATGATTTTTCTTACCAAAAGGCCATTCCAAATCCATCTTAAAGCAAAGCTGCCAAACTAATCCTCCAAACATCCCTTTCTTCACAGTACTTACTCCTTTAGTGAAGAATCCAAAACGACCCCCTAAGGCCTCTTACATAATCTTTTGTTTCTCATCAAGTCTTCAAGACATCCATAAAAAGACTCCACTTACCCATTTACCTACCTTTACGTCCAACTATTTTATTCATTATAGTCCTGTTCCAATCAGGCTGGTCTCAGAGCCCTCTGTCTCCTTTCCACACGACACAATCCCCACCTTTTGAGCTTTTGCTCGTTACCACCTACCACGGATCCAGCCAAAAACACTATCAAATAAGTTCTCCCTCCAAAGGCTGAATCCAAAGCCCTCAGAATCCAAAGCCCTCAGAATCCAAAGCCCTCAATGATGTCAGGATTCTTTTCCAAGGAAGCCTTTCCTGATTTCTGTTATTTATCCTTTCTTCAATCAACACGAATAAACTAAATCTTTCCATACAGCGAGTTACAACTCCCATGAAATCATTACATTTTTGCCTATACTAAGCATCCACTCCGGTACCAGTGCGCTAATAGTTTCCTTGGACACCAGCAGGCCACAAAGCACCCAGCACAGTACGGGGCACGGAGCAGACACTCCTGCTCCACACGAGCACGCCCAGTTGGCCTAATCGACTGCGTGGGCGCGCGGCGGGGTCGAGGGCAGGCGCTGGCAGCGGGGCTGCCGGGAGGTCCGAGGCACCAGGTGTGTTAAGTCATCCAGGTGACGCAGGGCCGGCCCAGGCCCAGGCGCTGCCGGGGACCCCGCCGCCTCTTCTGGCAGGGCGTCTCCCCAGCCCGGCTTCATCCGCCCGGAACTTCCCGGCGCCTCCACTTCCAAGCCAGGGCCTCACCGCTGACCCCCCTCCCTTCATCTCCGGCCCTGCGTCCACTTCTCGGCCAACCTGACAGGTCCTGCCGCCGCCCGGACGCAGGCACGCAGCGGGAGGGGACGCGGAGGGACGGATGCAGCCCGAGGGGCGTCGCGCGCGGGGCCGAGCGCCACTCACCAGGCGCCAAACACCAGAACCGGGACTGTCCTGCGCCAGACGACGAGCGACGGCGAAGAGCGCTGGGCTGAGGCCGGACAGTGGCGGCGCCGGCACTTCCTGCCTGGAGAGGCGGAGCGGAAGGCGCACCGGAAGGCGCGGCGGGTCCAACTCGGAAGGGGGGTGCGGCTCGTGTCCCCGCCGGGACCCGCAGAGCCCGAGCGTCCGCGAGGAGCGGGGCTCCCTGGGCCGCAGGCGCGCAGCCGAGGCTTTGGTTGTCTGTTCCTTCCCTGCTCCGTGCGTACGCGGCGGTAGCCCAGCAGCCCGCCCTGCTGCCCGCGCCTTCCCGCGCCGGGTCCCGCGGCCCTTCCGCGTTCCTGGGCCGGCGGGGCGGGGCGGGGTGGGGCCGGGTGCTGGAATTCCGCCCACGGTCGCCACGGTTTGGGGGGGTCCCCTGGTGCCGGAAGCGGCCCACCGAGGGCTGCCAGATTTAGCAAATGGAAGTACATTTCGCCTAAATTTGAATTTCAGATAAACAAGTCATTTTTTAGGGTATGTCCCATGTAGTATTGGGAAGGTAAGAGCTGCTGGCTCTACAAACCGTCTCTCTTTTAAACCGCACTCCCGCCTAAATTAAAACGTTTAACCTACTCCTTTCTTACCCTCAGATTGTAAAGCTTAGGGTCTTAATCAGCCTACACAGCTTATGACTGTTTCATTCCCCTAAAACAAAGTTTTATTCCAATTATTTGCTTTCCTTTATGTTATTAAAGAGATGGCAGAATTATGCACACACGTACATACATGCGCATATACACATTATATGATGCTCTTGGCCAGAACAAAGGAAAACACAAAGCTACAGTGTTCAGGTTTTGTTTAGATCTTGTTTGTGGCTATATTCTTCAGGACCGTTTCCCTCACCTAGTAATGATCTAGATGAATAGCACTCTTTCAGGATAATGGAAGGCAGTCAATCTAATAGCAAATCTTTATTGAGCACGTATTGCCGTAACATGTGCCGGATGCTGGGGAAATGAATGAATAGTTCAGTCTCTTTCCTCATGGAGTTTGTATTCTACAAATCTTTGATCAGAAATTCCTAGAAAGTAGGGTCCGTGTGTTCAGCACTCTACAACAGTAGTTCTTAAACAGTAGTTCGCCTAAGAATAACCTGGAGGGCCTGCTAAAACAGATTCTTGAGCCTTAAAAACCATATTAGGATACAGTAGGTCAGGGGTGGAGGATAATTTGAATTCCTAGTAAGCACTCAGGTGATGCTAATGCTGTGGTCCTTCTCTGAGCAGCACTGCCCAAAGTCCAGATCCTAACAATGCATTTTCTCAACAGTGTTAGAAAAGCAATTGCTGACAAGTCACACCTGGTTCTACAATATTTACTCTTTCCCTAAGCTGCAGTCTGCCTTTTGGTTTGGTAGATTAAATCATTTTTTTCCACTCATCAGATTTTGGCTCCCCAGGTCTCTGTCACAGAGCTCTTCCAAGTATGGTCTATTAACACCCCATAAACCCTCATGCTGGCCAACGTAAGATCATATAGCTGACTCATCCTGACTGTACTTTAACTTTGATCTCTTTATTTAAGCTTCTAGAACTGTGTGGTCCAATACAATAGTCACTAATCACAGATGGCTATTTAATTTAAAATTCAGTTCATCTGTTGTATTGGACACATTTTATAGACAGGGATCTCGCTGTGTTGTCCAGGATGGAGTGCAGTGGCTATTCACAGGCTCAATCATGGTGTGCTACAGCCTGGAACTCCTGGCCTCAAGTGATCCTCCCACCTCAACCTCTGGAGTAGCCACAGCGCCTGGCTGTATTAGATACATTTTAAGTGCTCAATAGCCACATGTGGCTAGTGTTCATACTGGATAGGACAGAGAGCATTTCCATCATTACAAAAAGTTCTGTTGGACAGCACTGTTCTGAAGAAGTAATCCTAAAGTACATTGTTCTCTCTAGATACAAAAGAAAAACATTTATTAATGAAAAACTGGATATTTAAATATCTAGCACCTGGGAAATTGTTCATTATAGCATAATGAACATGTCAAGGATAATTATGGTCATTAAGAAGAGTGGCTGGAAAAGTAATATTCTCAAACCAAAACCAAAAAAAAAAAAAAAATAATGGTGGCTATGTCAAAACATGAAAAGTGATTCAAGAAATATTACACTAGAGATGGGCACAGTAGCGTGCACCTGTAATCCCAGCTACTTGTTTGAGGCCAGCAATTCCAGACCAGTCCTGGCCATATAGCCAGACCTTGTTTCTAAAAATAAATAAATAAACAAAAACTTTAAAAAAAGAAATATTAAACCCAAAAAACACACTGTAAACTCCTTACAACTCTAAAATGTACGTGGAAAAATACTGGAGACAAGTCATGACTCCTGCTATTTGAGCAGGCACAGAGAAATCTACAATAAAAGGATGTAGGCACTTGGAAGTTGGGAGAGCAAGGGGAAAAGGGATAAGTAGCACTGGGAAAACGGGACATTTCTTCAATGCGGGATTCACTCCAACAATCCCTTTCAGGGGAAAAAAAAAAAACCACGAGGTTTCAGGGAAATCAAGAAATTGTACACTTGAGGAGGACCTAATGAGACACACACAAGTCTGGCATATCGGATCTGCTCAGGAAGTTGAAAGAAAACTATTTTGAGCATCCAGTACGTACCAGGAAAACTGACAGGCATTTCTATGCATAGTCATATTAAATCTTCATAATAACCCTTTAATGAAATTTTAGTTGAAATAATTTACTATCAATTAACTAGGAATCTTTCTCCTAATCTCAGACTTTTAATCTCCAATTACCATGAAACTCTCGTCTTCACCTACCCTTCCAGAAGTATCCATCTGTTTTTCTAAGGATAATACTACATGTGATATAGGTTCTATCCCTTTCTATCTCATAGACATGATTCATTTTGTTTCACTAATTGTCTTCCTCTCTGTCTACAAACAGGCTTGAATCTCTACTTTATAGACAAGCCTTTTAACCCTTCTCTTCACTGGCCCTCTGTTAAACAAAACAAAAATAACTATTTGGATATCTATTATGTGCCAGACCATTAATCTTTTGTATTTCTAATTTTCACACAAACTTGGAGGGTACTGTCCCACTTTTGTAGATGGTGAAACTGACTTAAGAATGATCTGTTTGTTCAAGGACACAGAGCTAGTCAACTAATGGTGCAATTCACTTAACCAAGTATGCCTCCAAACCCATGCTGCTCTTAATCACACAAATGCTGCTTTATATATTATGTTCCTATCATGAATCAATAGCGTTACTTCCTTTTCAAAAATGAATAAATAGGCCAAGGGAGGTTAAATAACTTCCTTGAGGTTATAATGCTATGATGTAGCAAAAAATGGGATATATTTAGGGTTTTGCTCTGTGGCCCAGGCTAGAGTGCAGTTACACGACCATAGCTCACTACAGCCTCAAACTCCTGGGCTCAAGCAATCCTCCTGCCTTACTTAGCCTCCTGAGTAGCTGGGACTACAGGAATGCACCACTACACCAGGCTTATGTTTGTATTTTGTAGAGGCGGGATCTCGGTATGGTGCTCAGGTTGGAAAAACTGAGATTTAAATACAGGTCTGCCTGACCCCCAAACACAGGCATTATCCACTATCCTGTGCTGCACTATGGATTCTGCACTCAGAACTCCACCTAACACTTCTAGCAAATGTAACTAATGACTTGCCAAATCTAGTGGCTTATTTAAACTTTTCCACACTTGACTTTTCTGTGGTGACACTAATGACTAACCTCCTTACTCTTGAAATGAACTTGGTTTCCAAAAGACTGTTTTTGTAGCTCTATTTACCTCTCCAAACCCTATTATCATCTTTTATCTGATCCTGAAGTCCAGGTGTTATACCTCTTGCTGTCCTTCCTCTCCTTACACTTTGTTGAAAATGGTTCCCTTTCCTTCTCAGAATTTGCTTTTACTTTTCTTTTATGGTCTGGCCTTCTTCCTTTTTTTCCCAGGAGCATTCAATTCCTGCTCCAAGTCATAGCTTCCTTGATCAAATGAAATTTGGGCCTAAGTCCAAATAACTATACAATCAAAGCAGGTAGATAAGGATGCTGCCCTCATTAGGTTGGTTTCATCAAAACTTTTGAAATAGTTTTCAAATGCTTCAAGTATGACTTTCATCATGGAAACATTTTAGAGACTGATTTTTCAGTCAAACTCACTGTTAGAGAAAACACTTTTACCTTTTTACTGGCAAAGCCTAGCTCACTAAGCAGAGAATGCTATTACTAAATTAGGACACTTATTTCATTCAGGGTAGATCATCCATTGTTCCTAAAGAAGGCTGGTTCTTTCAGCAGTTATCTGAAATGGAAATGGGGGTACTGAAAGAGATAATTCTAGTAGTACCTTTTATTTTCTGTAGTGAAAACAATGTTGTTATTAGTTCTTCACTAGAGATTTAACAAAGCAGAAGTGGTAATTTTTTCTATTGAAATGAAAATTCAATTCAACAAATAAGATTTTACCACCACGAACATAACCTGAAAGAAGCATTTTGCTTAAATACTGAATGAAATTCAAGAACAAATAAAAGGCAAGGAATTAAGGCAGGTTCTAAGATTCTAATCTTGAAGAGGGCGAAGACTAGTTTCTGTTAGTCCTTTTGTTCCTGTTCTATATAATTGGCCTTACCAGGTTAAAGGATCTAGCTCACCTATTCTAGTGTGGGCAAAGGCCTGCTGCCTAGAAGGCATTCTGAATTGTTTACTGAGTGAGGTAATAGTTTTGTCCAAGGATAGTCTTGTTAATAGTAACATAAAACTTGAAGTTATTAGAGTAATTGTCAATTACTCATCTTTGAAGGCTAACAGGCAACTCTTTTCAGTCAGCTTTTCCCCCAACATTTCAAATCTTTTTAAACTCATGAATCTTTGAGTCAGAATTCTGAAGTCCTTTGAGAGTCAGATTTTTGAAGCCCAAAGAGAATGAAGCTGTTTACCACTCCCTGATTAACTCTGAAATGGTTCTGCATTCTGCAAATAGCAAAAGTTATTTTTAGGATAGAAACAATGACCTCACTTTCCCAGACATGTAGCTTCAGCTGTTTTGTTTGTGGGCAAGTCAGGAATGTCCAAAATTCATACATGGACTCATGGTGAACTTCTGCATAAACAAATATGATCTTTCAGTAGGGATTGTTGTATTAAAGAAAAACTATATATAATTTTTAAAATACTGTGTTGTATTTCCAACACACTGAAATACAACACAAAAATCTCTTTTTGGTAGCATTCCACAGAACCTTTGGGGCTAAAATAGGTTCAAAATAGGACAAATTAAAATTACACTCAGTGGCCTGGTCTAATTTTAAATGACATGAAATAATGTACGAAAGCTTAAAGTGGAAATGTTGGCGGGTATGTTAAACATAAGGACTTAAAGCTACTAAAACTATCACATATATGCAAATTCTACAGGAAATTATTTTAAAAATTGGAAGACAAATTGTAGGAGACCTGATCAGGGCAGCTGAATTTCCTTGGGAAGAGAAAGAATGAACAGGAGTAGCGGAGACAGGATTGTTAGGAAAATTGGAGGAAGAAAGGCAGAGGTCTAACAACTATACCATTTTCTAGATTATCACCTACCTTTCTTTGGAAGATGGAACTAAAACTAACAGAAACCAATTTTAGCAAATAAGAAGTTTAAACAAGTATTTTATTGTAAAGTTTAATTATGGTTCAGAAAAAATTGAGTGAATAACTTTCTCTGAAAAAATATATTGACTCTGTAGACTGCAGTTATTGGGGGGATAGGAGCTGGTAAGTTAAATTACCATATTTTCTATTCTGAAAATGATAAAAAGTCCCATTTCCAGTCTGATTATAAAGATACATACGCCCAAAATGGCTGAGAATAAATACAACAGGAAAAGCAAAAGCTGTAAAGCTAAGAGCATGCAACAGACTCTAAGAGAAAATCTCAGAAATACCCAAAGTGGCAACAAGGAACGTTTGGCTGGAATCTGAAGTTCTTTTCAGTCATCTTTGTCTTTTGCTCCATGTTTAAGGATGCGCGTGAACTCGATGTAATTGAAATTCCCCTTTTTGTCAATGGGGGCTTCTCTGTACAGCTCATCCACTTCCTCATCTGTAAACCGATCTCCCATGGTTGTCAGCAGCTCTCTCAGGTAATCTTCCTGAATGGTGCCTGGAGAACAAAGAACTGAGGGTCAGAATATATACTACTCTGAGGATTAATTACAGGAAGATCTATACTTGACTAAGCATGTTCTGGATGTTAAAAACTATAAACACGCAAATATATGAAATACAGGGTGTTTCCACTTGCTTAAGGCAGCATCAGTAGACAGTTGCCTAGAAAAATGCCCAGTTACTTAGTAGCGTTAACTCTGCTCTGTCAATCTGCCTCTGCATCCATCTTCTGATCTCTTGGTAATAGAGACTCAACCTGTGCCTAAACAAAAGTTCTAAAAGGTATGGTTGAGGAATCTAACCCTCATGGTTCCCTAAAGCAGCATGCATGATTACACCTATTCTACCAGCAGGTAACAGTCCCCTGCCACAGTAAAATCAACGCCGTATCATAAACATCAACAAAGTGCTTCAGTGGAAAGAATACTGGAGTCTTGAGGCCCAGTTTTAGCAAGCTGTTATTTCAGGCATTTCACTTTACCTCTGACTCCGGTTTTCTCATATGTAAAATGAGATTTTTAATGTTTACAAATCTAATTATTATGTAATAACAAATATGGCTAGGTCTAGCATGTACAAAAACATGGAATAAATATTTAAGCATCAACTGTGTCGCAGAGATCGTGCTAAGCAGTGGCAGTGGGGTAAGCCAAAGGTGTGTTTTTACTCTGGGTTTTTGATACCAGGGTTCTCATAAAGCCTGCCTGCCTATAAGGATTGGATGTCACCCAATTTATTATCTGGTATTAGTATTTTTAAAAGGTTTCCCAAGTAACTAACATGCACATGTGGGGAGCCTTGAAAGCGTAAGTGAGAACTGCTTACATCAGCAGGCCCTGACAACCACTCAGTATTCAATTAGTCCAAGTAATGCAGGTAATCCAAGGGTGTGCCTTCCTTACCTAAAAACATTTGGCTATGCCATGTGAGTTGGGAATCGTAGAAAATATTCCCTTATATGTTTTCCCTTATACACACTTCTCCCAAAATATCAGGCCTTTAAATATTTACATTTTGCTTTTTTAAGAGTAACTCTACGCCAGGCAATATGCACTTTATGTATATTATCTCATTTCCTCATTTAATCCTAACAATCCTGTGAGGTAGGTAACATTACTGTCCATTTTATAAACAAGAAAACAGAGGCTTAGAGAAAGTTAAGTTGCCCCAAATTACGCGGCTATTATGTAGCAGAAGAGGAATTTGAAACCAAGTAGTCTGATTCCAGAGCCTAAGCTGTACTTGGTTTATTTTAACATAAAGGTTAGATACCAGATTTAAACAATTTTATTTAGAGCTAAGGGATACTTGGTAAACAAACACAGAACTGTACCATGGTATAGCCATGGTCTATAACAATTTATACTTTATCCAAGATTCCTCTGGTAAAAGTTATTTATTCAATGGATATTTACTGAGCCCAACCCTTGTGGAGTTAACATTCTAGTAAAGAAGTAATACAAGTTTCCCAAAGAGGTTTTGAATACAAACTATTCAATTGTAAACTATTAGTATTTATAGGCAGAGGCAGCGAAGCATGCCAGAAAAGAACTGTGTTCAAAAAACTATGTGTGGTACAAACCTGAGGGTGTTATATTGTATTTCAAGTTACTGTATATTTTAGTTACCACAACTAAAAATTAAATCACTTTGTAATTAAAGGCTACTCTCACTTACCAGTTGCTTCTTCATCAAAGCAAGCAAAAGCATTTCTGATGACATCTTCTGGATCTGTGCCATTTAACTTCTCACCAAACATGGTGAGGAACATGGTGAAATTGATGGGGCCTGGAGCCTCATTCATCATGGCATCCAGATACTCATCAGTTGGATTTTTCCCTAAATAAAAAAGAGGATCATAATTTTAATTACATTATGATATACATCAACTATTAATGATAAACATTTTGGCAAGAAAGCTTATCATTCATACAGTTTGCTGTTTGCATTCATGGCTGCAAAACTATTTGGGGAAAAAAAGGCTTCTTAACGAATAAGGCCTAAATTAAGAGTCTGGAGATTGTATAATATTCCACTGGGATGTTACAAGGAATAACACTACTTTCACAATCAAGATCGGTATTTTTATACACACACACAGACACACGTGGCCTCCAGCCCAATCCTGAGACAGGGCCAGGAATCTGCAGATAGTTAGTGGGAAATACTGCTCCAGAATTTACTTAAACTTTAGCAGACTCATTACACAGACTTCACAGAGCTTTAAGACTCATGAAATAAATATGAAAAGCATTGTAGAAATTCTATGTTATACATTAATATTAAAACTGAGCATTACCTAGTGAGGCAAGCATATCATGCAAATCTTCCTTGTCAATGAAACCATCTCTGTTCTGATCAATCATGTTGAAGGCCTCTTTGAACTCCTGAATCTGTGACTGGTCAAACATGGCAAATACATTGGATGTTGCGCGCTGAGGGCGCTTCTTGGTGGTCTTGGTCTTTGCCCTTTTACTAGACATGGTGGTGTTTAAATCCTAATTAGGAAAGGAAACACAAGGAAAACCCAATCAACATTTAAGATTACTTAAATATGAATTAAAACAATGATTAACAAAAGTAAACAATCAGTGTTCCTGACATGGTCGAGCTACTCGAGATGTGTCTTCAGCAGGACAACATCACTTGGTAAAAATGACTCTCAACTAACCATTACTTACAGAACCAAACTAAAAGAGAAAAATTAGACCTGAGTTTGGGTTCACTTACCCTTATAGTTGTGACATTTTATACACAGTGTATCACTAATTTCAAATTCCAAACTATAACCAAGGTTAATTCAAAGCTCACAACAAGATCACATACTCCCAGTACTATACAGCCTAACTATAACCAATCACCAAATCTGCTAGTTTAATCACAATAATCACAGTATTGCTATACAGCCTAACTACAACCAATAACCACATCTGCTGGTTTAATCACAAATCACAATAAAGCAGCAAAAAAAACCTTAGGTACCTGGGAAAAGCACTAGGTTCTATATTTCAGTGCTATAGGGGTGTTGAGAGTACTAATTCATCTTCAAGACATCCACCGTCTGTAGGCCTAGCCAAAACTAGCTATCTCATCCTATGGTGGACAGAAAGGCAAAAAAGTAGGAAGAAGGACTGAGGGAACAAGTCTTCATCTCCTAATTTCTATTGCCAAATATTGTTCTTCCATATCCAACTAACATTTCTTATTGTACCCTCTTTTCTGGGCTCAAAGCAGTTCAAGAAACATTTGCTAAAAGGCTAAAGGAAAAAAATAAAAAAACTGAAGTTCATTTATCTACAATTTTTATAGACATTGCACTCTATCCAAACCAGCTTCTTGTATTAGAGCCACACTAAATCATTTCAAGTACCTAAGATGACTAAAGAGAAATCAGAGCAACACTTTTTAAAGCAATTTAGTCTTAAAAGTTTAGAAAATATCTTAAGAGTCATAGAAACTACCTTTGTTCTCTAATAACCTAAATTTACCCCTGTAAAATTTAATGTAAAAATAAAAAGAATGTCTAATAATATCTAAAATGAAAAGGCAATTTTTCTTGCAACATTCAATCTTTAAAAGACTATAACAGTTTGCTTGAAGTTAAAAATTCCATAGTTAACAGATAATAAAATTCTACCGTACCATCCTTCAGAGTTGAGGTGGAGATGGTAGTCTGCAAAACCTCTAAGCAGTAAGAGTAAGACACTGTATTGAGTTATATTCTTCCAAGCAGGTCTAAAATAGGCACTACTGATTTCACTGTGACCAGGATAACAATTTTAATGCTTACGTTCTGAAAACAACATTTAGCTATGATGTGGCATAACACTATGCCGTTGCTCTAAAAATAAGTCTGTGGACTGCAAAGAATGAACTACTACCTCGATCTCAGCACTCCAAAGTGACCCTAAGAATATAATGTTTCCTATGTATTTAAAAAACTATTTCTTACATTCTTTCCTTCATTATACCCACTTCACCCAGACTAAATACAATTATGGAAATAATTAGAAAAAGCTCTGCCTCAAATTTTTTTAAGCTAAATCTGTTTTCAGATTTTAGCACGAAATTCCACAAAGGGTAGTCGCAAATTCCAGTCCGTCCAATATAGCACTCTACAGCATACACTGGAATGTGTTGTTGGAAAGATATACCCCATACGACACAGAAGTTATGATATATACTCTCCCCAAATTTCCTAGAATCCTTTAATCATCTTTTAGGAGGCTACCTTTCATGATTTATTTAAGGCATTCATGAATGCTATTTTCATTCTGTAACTCTTTTTGGGGGTAGTAAATTCCGTTATTATCTAAACTATATAGAGTTAGACTTTTCCCCTCTATTCTAAATGTCTTAAAAACTATAAGGAGTTATGGAGTATATTATTCCTCCAACTCTTAAATGTACTCGAGGACTCAGTGTGGGTGGTTGAGACCCAATGAGCGGCACACATTTACCAGTCTATCTCTCTTTGTTAGGCATGTCATGCCTTTGCAGGACAAAGCACATCTTTAAATATAGCCTGTTTTATGTGACAACATTGTCTTCCCCTAACAATACAGAAAGGTCAGCTATTTTAAGAACAAAGGAACTGATGAGAATTGCAGGTCAAATGGTTGACACAACTGATTTTTTAATCTACAAAATCTTCTATTACTAAATTTGGCGGGGGGGTCCTCTAGATACCTTTCCAAAATGCTTAGTTTTGGTTGTCAAGTAATATGTATTTTTTTTTGAATTCTGATGAATTTCCTTTTAATCATGCATTTTTTAAATTTGTAAATGCATTATAAAATAGTTTTTAAAAGTTAAAAAAAAAGTGGTTTTTTTAGGGGGTCAGTACTGCCAATGGTCTCGCACAGAACTCTTCCTTAGTTCATTCAGTTCATCATCTCATCAACCTTAGTATGATCTGTTAACTACACTAACATGTATCAAACACCATTACTGCTGAATGCTAGTAAAGAAATTTAAGGCATGTGTCCTAGCTTCAAGGAGCTTAAAATATAGTTGGGGAAGCAACTATAAAGAAATGAGATGATTGATTCAACTTATGAAATGAGTCATAGTTTTCATTCCAGAGGTATGACTCTAAAGTTAAAACAATGTGTGACAATAATGAAACATAACTCCTAAGATGGTACATGATTACTAAATACTATGAGTCCAGAAAACATCTTTGTGAGCAGTTAAAAGATTGGGGACGGGAGAAGACCTTGAAAAACTCTGTTTGGTATCATTTAGAAGCCACAAGACACCGTTAGAATTCAGAGATTCAGGTGTTAGTCTTAATTCTAACAAATTTAACTAATTCTACCAAAAACTGATAGTGTAACGTTGGGCAAGTTACTATCTGGGCCTTTATTTTCTCAAGGAGGCTGGATTCTGATCTATGAGTTTATCTCCCACCAAAAATCTGGAGTCTTTCAGCAATAGAGTTCAGCTTCACATTCATTGTTCCAAAATAAGGAAACTGGGGTTTATTTTTTCCTACCACACTAAAAGTGTAGATGGAATAAACACTGGTGAAGGGAGTGAAATCAGGACCACTGCTATAATCTCAAGGAGCAGGTCATTTTTGATACTGTCAGTGTACTCTTTGCTGTAATTCTAGTTTGTTGTCCATTTTACTTTCCCTCAAATGAGGTTGCTACTCTTCATGTAACAGGCCTTCAGGAAATGTACAACTCTCATGTAAGTTTAAAAAGCTATGGTAAAATAAAATTTAAACTATTTCAAAAATCAGTGTAAGTATTCTTTGTTTAAGATGGGAAGATCTCCAGGTAAACACGTGAAATATCCTAATTATGAGGTTCTTCAATCATAAAGTTGAGTCTTTATTTTTGAACAATTTAATAAAAGATCTTTGGTGTGAAGGGATATTTGTTGTATGGAACTTGTTGTATGAAGACTTACAGAGCAGGCTTCTACAAAACGCATGAGGATTTCAGATGCATGAGAAAGTGAATAAAGGGCAGTCAAGAAGATTCAGTTTACAGATCTAAAGGAGCACAACCTTGTTTTAAGCCAGGAGAGGGGAATGCCGGTGGCAATGAATTTGTGATTTTATTTTTAGCTTAATGAGATAGGAAGAGAATCATTAAGGGCTATGACAAAAGGAGCGATACAAACCATGTAAAGAAGATGTTAGATTAAGGGTGGAAGAAAATGTAAGACAGAGGTCCTCAAAGAGGCTCTCACCATACACCATGAGCAACCAGAAGATTCAAAGTCTCTAGAAACTACGGTTTCGCTTATAAAATGGGACTAATCCATACTAATATATACATTAGATTGCTCTAGTTAGAATCCTAGAGTCCAGTAGTTATAGTGGTAATAAATGTAAAATAATCTAGAAAATTTTTCTACAGAACACTCAATTTCATACTATTCTAAGAAATATATTATTTAATGAGAAAAACTCCCATCTTACAAGTGTATGACAGTACCTAGTATTTTGGTCTGCTTTCCAAATCTTGACCAAATCTATTGTCTCATTTAATCAATGCACTATGCACTTTTTAAAAACCTAAGTATAAGTAATTTTTTCGGTGCTAATCACAGTTTTTAAAAAGTATATTCTCAGGTTGGTGCTTCCCTTCCAACTAAACCAAGTTTTCATTTCTCATGCAAACTTCCGGTTGAACGTAGGATTAGTTCTCTTAGACTGCCACACCCAAAAAGTTCTTACTTCTTGGCAATTAGTTGTAAGGACTGACAAAGCCTCGCTTTTGAAAATAAAATGCTTTTCTGATTAACGTTTATCAAAGGCCTTCCAGAACATGAAACTAATATCAGTCATTTTAAGAAATATTCACTTTCTTCACCTTTAGATACAAAACTTTTTGCATTTTTGCACTTAGGAAGTTAAAATCTGAACTGAACCCATAGGTCTCTAAGCCACTGATACGTACTTTCATACACCCACTAAACTACTTTAAAAGAAAACAATTCTTTGGCGAATTGACTTAGCCCAAAGTCTCCACCCAAAAGGCTCAAGTTATTGTATTTGGGGACTTCTTTCTTGAGCCGCAAACTAAACCCCAAACCCCTCTTTGTCCAAATATCACTCACAGAAAAAAGTTCTATTCACAGGATCGGATACTGAGCTGATAAAGTTCCAAATTTAACTTGGGTTATCCCTACTAAACGTAGCCACACAACTGCAACAGCTGCAGCAGGGGGGAACAGTGGGCTACGGTTTTTGCGCAAACTCTCTTGAATCGGGTAAGTTTACTTAGAAACTAAACATAGTCCCGGAGTCAGCTATGCAGGGCTCGGGTTTCGCGGGACCGGCAGTCTCCCAAGCTCAAGGCGCCAGCGAGCCCCAAGCTCCAAGTTTGGGCACAGGAGCGAATTTCGCGTCTGGGCCACTTCCGGTCCCGGCCTTGGGTCCCAGAACTGACCCCTTAAGCTCCAAAGTGGGGATCTGGCTGGTCCACCTGCGCAGGTACGCGGAGCCCCGCTGCCCTCCCAGCCGGCCCCGCGGAGATGGGCCCCCAAGATGGGTCTCAAGCGGCCGACCACAAGCACCACTCACCCTGTGTGCACAGCCACGAGAATACAAGCACCTCAGTGATCCCTTCGCTGCCGCTTTCACCACCCTCCTACCCCAAGAGCCGCTGAAAACCAACACTTCCGGCCTCCGCTTAGCAAACCGGAAGGAAGCCTGGTCACCATTCTTGGCTGACAGAGTGGGCCCGTCGAATGGAAGGGCCGCAGGGAGGGAAGTTACCAGAGTGGTCAGCGGGCACAGTATTGACTAAGTGCACTGGAAAGAGGTATAAAGCGGATGACTTAGAACATAGAGGAATATATAATGATTCGTTGGGTCTGATTACTGAGTTTCCGTCTTTTTTGTACGTCTTCTTGCAATGAACAAATTTTTCCCCCCTTTCCTTTCCGCAGGTGGTTGCGTCTGTCCTGTGGCTTGGCCTCCTCGCACATTCCAGGGCAGGGCGAGGGGCGGGGCCCGTTAACACAAGTCCATGTAGGGAAATCGCCAAGCGGGAGGCAGGGCCCACGTGACTGGCCTTCGCCACGCCCCCGAGCGTCCGGCTCCCGCTGCCGGGCGGTAGTGCGCCTGCGCGTGACAGTCGGCACAGGGTCTGGGTCTCCGCCTGAGGATGCCGGAGTGGTACGCGCAACCCGTGAGGGGGCTTTGTGCAAGCGATTTGCTCTCTTCGTGCAGTGTTATTTTATGAAAAGCCCCATCCCTTCCACACAGGAGGAAACGTTGTGAAGTCCCAAGGGCCCTCAGGCAAGCTCCCACTCTCTTTTTGGCCCACACCGATTTCATAAGGTCACGAGTAGCCACTCCAGTTAGGCTGAAGACTAACTCTTCAAAAACGTTAGCTGTTTCTCTCGCCTGCCAGATCCTCTGACCCTGACTAACAGGGACAGCCCGACTTGGGTCCGACTAGGGAGGAAGTCGGGCGACGTTTGCGCCCACCTCTATGGTGAGGGCTTGCGGCTTGGTGAGAATAGGAATGAAAAATTGGATCTATTCGCAGTTTTCCTTGCCTGGAACAGCTGGTAACAGTGCTTCTTGGTAAAGGAAAAGAGAAAGCCCTCCCCGACTTTGTCTTTCCGCGCTGCGTCTGGAGAGAAGACTGTCGTTCTGGCCGCCTCAGCTCTGCGACCTCATCTCACTCCGGTCACCCTCCCAGCACCAGTGTGCAGTGACTAGTCTGCTCACGTGGCCAGAACAGTTCTGAAGTCCGGGGCGGCCCTGGGGTCTTCACCTTGAAAGGCGGCGCTCGCTTCAGTCCTGAGAAGGGAGGCGTTAGTCCAAGCGCTGTGGAAAGGAGATATTCTAAGTCCCCTGTGGCTTCTGCCTTGAAGGAACTCAGGAGCATTCCGTCTGTTAACCAGTAACATGTTCCAAAGTTACCTGAGAGATGAAGTCACTGTGGAAAAATAATTGCCCTGATTCTATAGGTGACTGACAGAAAGGTGATTTGTTTCCCAGACTTCCCTGCTAGTAAGAATTACTTGGAATACCAGTTAATGATGCAAATAATGGGTCTCCAACCCACTGGATCAGAAGCTTCAAGGGCAGGTCCTGGGAAGCCATCGATTTAACAGGGGTTTTAAGTGACTCTTATCGGCGACAGTGGGGACGCAGAGCTAGGGGGCAGGCGGTGGCAGGGCAAACTCCAGAGGGCTGCGTGGTGCGGTTTTTGCGGGGACAGTTTGTTCTTGGGAGTGTGGCTCGGGCGCCAGTGCCAGCACCTGCAGTGCATAGCCATCTCCACAGGGTGGTGCCCTGCCACCGCTAACGTGCTCTCCTTCAGAAAGAAAACGGGATCAAAATGATGTGGATGGTTCTGTTTTTCCTTCAGCTTGAAGGTAACATTCTTTCGCTTCTCTAGTGTCAAGTAATTTCCTTGTTTGTCTTCCTTCCACTCAATCAACAGGTATTAAACAGCAGCTGCATTGCCAAGCACTGATGAGGGCTGCAGTTTATGCTTTTTGAAATAGAACATAGCTGCTACCTTGGGGATGTGAAAGGAGAGAGGAGAAAGGATGCAGAGTTATTTTACTATACTGTGCTTTCTCCTTTGGTCTAAAGTAGGGAAACTCGTTACCCAAACGACAGCGAGGAAACATAGCAGAATTGATCCTTGATATTTATGACTTAAGTCAGTGATGATTTTATATTGATCACTTGCATTTTTTTAATTTAATTTAATTTTTTTTTTTAGACAGGATCTAGTTCTGTTGCCCAGGCTGTTGGAGTACAGTGGCCTGATCATAGCTCACTGTAACCTCAAACTCCTGGGCTCAGGTGATCCTCCTGCCTCAGCCTCCCCAGTAGCTAGGACTACAAGTACATGCCACCATGCTTGACTAATTTTTTTATTTTTTATTTTTTTGTAGAGAGAGGGTCTCACTGTGTTGCCCAGGCTGGTCTCGAGAGCTCCTGGCCTCAAGCCATCCTCCTGCCTTGGCCTCCCAAAGTGCTAGGATTCCAGGCATGAACATTGCTCCCCACCATAATTTTTATTGCATGTAAGAAACGATTGAATGTTGAGCATCGTGGCTTACATTCTGGTTTTGCCTACATAAATGGAATTCTAATTCTTCATACATGAAATATGTATGCTGTAACAATTAGCATTACTCCAGGAAACCAGTAGAAGCTCCTTTCTATTAAATGATTAAAGGTGTTAAATCTGTGTGTAAATTAATTTTAGAACACCAAGACTATAAGTAGTCCTTCAAAATATATCCAGAATGTGACTATTTCTTACCACCTCTACTGCTAGCATCCCATCCAAGTTATCGTCATCTCAATCCTGTATTTTTGCAATAGCTTCCTAACTGGTCTCCTCACTTCCTTGTCCCCTACCATGTGTTCTCCACATAATAGACAGTGCGCTTCTTTTAAAACAAAAATTAGATTGTGTCATTGTTCTGCCTGACACTCAAGAGTAAAAGCCTATGCCATACCATGGCCTAAGAGGCCCTGACCTCACCTCCTACTTTCTGCCCTCCCCAATCTGCTCAGCCATGTTGATATCCTTAATGCATTTTTTTTTTTTAATAGAGACGGGGGTCTCACTCTTGCTCAGGCTGGTCTAGAACTCCTGAGCTCAAGCTATCTTCCCACCTCGGCCTCCCGGAATGCTAGGATTACATGTGTAAGCCACTGCTCCTGGCCCCTTAATGTTTCTCGAAGGAGTAAGTATTTTCTTACCTCGACAACTTTGCATTTGATGGTCCTTCTCATTTCAGTGCTCTTTCTTCTAATATTTTTACTGCTTGCACCTTCAATTCTTTCAGATCTTCATGCAGATATCATCATCTCAGTAAAACCTTCTATTTCCATTTAAATTCCCATCGCCCATCTTCCAACCCCAGAATTCCCCTCCCTTGCTTTATGTTTTCCATTGCACTTATTACCTCTGACACACTATAAACTTTGCTTATTTTATTTACTGTCTCCCCTACTAAGTTCCATCAAGAGGATTTTCTGGCTTGCTTTGTTTACTAAAGTATCACAACGCCCAGAAGAGTAGTTAGCACGTTATAAGCACCCAGTACATAGAAATACATATTGAATGAATGAATAGCTGGAAGGCAGAGCATAATGGGGAAATGTAGAAATATGAGGCCAATGGGGTGAGCAGGGACGATATCCTTAGTGGCTGCTAAGGTCGGTGGGATACCACTGATATGTCTTAAGTATGATT